ATTTCGTTGGTGCGAGCCTGGAAATAATCAACAATACCATATATCACTACACCTCAGACCCACCCCAACACTACACAGGAATTTCGTTGGTGCGAGCCTGGAATAATCAACAATCACATCCGATCACTTAAACCAGGAATTCCTCATCTCAATTCTTCTCGCTTTTCTAATGTCAACAAACACAGGTATCTAGATCCTATACACGACACGTTAGGCCACTAAGAACATGAACTACTAACGGTCATCAACAAAACAAGAAATATTAAATAAACATAACTATTTTATGCAAATCATATGATGAACATGACTATATAGACTAGCGATGAATCAGGTATGCATATGTGACAGTGAAAGAGTATAAATTGAAATGTTGTGTTCTTCAACTATCAATCACACGGTCATAAAAATAATCCTTTTCCAAAATGACTTCCTTAAAACATTTATCATTCTAAAATAATTTCCTTCCGCAACATAAATTCTAAAATATTATAATTATTCTAAAATAATCCCGTCATCAAAATAAATTCTTTAATCTATTATATTTATCCTGAAAATACTATTTATCACATAATTAAAATTTATTTAATATTATTCATCACATCCACACAGATAATTTACCACAAATTAACATAACAGATAATTCATAATTTATAGAAAAATAGTTCTGAGCAAGCGGTATCTTGCCTCGGGTTTCGTCGAACGAATCGACGCTGACGGCGTCGGTGGTGCACGGCGGCGAGGAGGGCTCGAACTACAACGACGACGGCGGTGGTCGAGGCCTAGGGACTGGTCAGGGATGAGGTGGCCGGATCTGGGCAGGGGTTCGTCGGCGTGGCGGCTCAGGTCGGCAACAGAGGGTCGGTTGACGGGGCCAAGGCGTGGCCTGGTGGAGGTTGACGGAGATGGGCGTGGTGGCTGCTGCGAGGGGCGGGGTGGAGCAGGAGGTGGTGCGGGGCTAGCTCAGGCGGCGAAGGTGATTGCAAGGGGAGTGGAGGCGGAGATGGGTGGTGTTGGTTGAGGCCGAGCGGGGCGCTGGCGACGGTGACTGGAGGCGGTGGCGGAGCCGGTGGCGTGGCGTGGTCGTCGGAGCTATCGAGCGCACAGATCTGTCGTGGCAGATGTCGAGTTGGCCGACGAAGGGGAGGAGGGTGGCCGGAGCACGGGGCGGCGAACAAGGAGGGCTGGTCGGATTCGAGCTCGGTGCAGGCGGCGCTCGGGGGGTACTGCAGCGGCAGTTGAAGGCGATGGACAGGGGGTCGGCTCGAGGGGGTTGACGGGGCGGCGCTGGCCAAGGGAGGAGGCGGCAGAGGCGCAGGCGGCGAACGGAGGTGGCGGAGGACGTCGGGTTCGAGCTCGGGTGCAGGCGGCGGCGGTGGTCTTAGAGGCGAGGGCTGGGCGTGATCGGAGGCGGGGAGTGGTGAGGTTGGTGGCGGCGTGCTCGGGTCACAGGCGGTGAAGGACGGCGGTTCTCCGGCGACGCGAACAGGGCGGTGATGAGGGAGGAGATGGGGGCGATTGTTGTGGGTTTCTGGAATTGAGAGAGAACGAGAGGAAAGAAGAAATAGAAGGAGAGAGGGTGATTGGAGAGAGAAAAAGGAAGGTACAGGAGAGAGAGAAATTTACGGGAGAGAAATTTACGGAAATAAAAAAGAAAGAGTTTAAAAACTGATTAGAAATTGATTTGGGAGGGATTAGGAAATAATTCAAATGGAAGAAAAAAAAGAGAGGGAAAAATTCGAAAATATCATATAATATTCTGAATTATATTAATAATTAATAATCAACCAAAAAATCTTTTTATTAATATTTATATACTACTATACTTTACTCAAGTTTACATCAATAATAACAAGGTCATTAATAATATTAATCACCAAATGATTATATATAAAAATCACTAAATCGTAAATTAATATTTAGCAGAATTAAAAGTACAATACTATATATTTTATTATTTATTATTTTAAAAACTCAAAAAATTCCAGAAATTAGGAAAAGTATTAGTAAAATATAATATAATATTTTAAATACTAGAAAAATTTATTTAAATACGTATCTAAATTTACGGTTGTTACATCCTACCCCCCTTAAAACAAATTCCGTCCTCGGAATTAAAATAAGAAAGGATCCAAGGACAGAGATAAGGAACGAGAGCGGAGTCAAGAAGTGACGAGACAAGAAACAATGGAAAGTTCCGGAGTCAAAAGTGATTAGGTAGGGATGAAACGAAATCTACCAAGAAAATAGGATAAGGCTCTAGAATAGTCTCACGGATGAAATATGATATGTATCTAAATTATCCATTATATTCTCACTAGTGGGAATTCGGGACCGTGACCTGCATGCCCGCTTCCCAAAATACACGGGAACCGGAACGTGAACAAGCCCGCGACGTATTAGACTGGGAAGAGATAAGTGCTAGACCCCGTCTTCTCAATCTAATACGCTAAGCGTCTGGAAATAAAACAATAACAATACACTTATACAGTTCCATTGTGCTTTAAAAAAGTTAAAACAACGTTACTCTAAAAATTAAGTTAAACAGGGATGCTAAAATTTCATTATTCATAATCTTTTATAAGTATCTTTTCAGGGGTTTCTGATCAAAGTTATGTGGGGCAATGGTTAACGTGTACAATCAAAAAAAGATGTTTACCTTGTACACTGGTCCAAAACCACCCTCTCCAAGTTTATTTTCATCTGAGAAGTAGTCTATAGAAGCAGCAATGGTAGCAAAATCAAATATAGGAAGATCCAGATCTCCTGGTTCATGATTTGACTTTTCATTGAAGGAAGTCATTGCACCTAATAGAACTGGAAAAAAAAAGAAAAAAAAGACTTGAGATATAAATCCCTATCAAATATTATTTTTTGGATATCAGTCCTTACAACTCAGTGTTTGGATATGAGTCCTTGAACAATATGAGTAATACTTCTAAAGATTCCCCCTACTCAGTTATCATCCAAATCTAAGAAAACATACTATCAAAGGATAACATAGAAAGAGAACCAACAAATTTATTTTCATTTAAACTAATAAGACTTTGAAATTTGATGTAGGATCCTTGACGGACAATTTCATGGAGGATTAGGAGAATTACGAGCTACACGTATTATTGACTTCCGCAAAGAAACAATCATATTTTTTAATCCGGAAGACAAATTCTGACATATTATATATGTAAATCGCCTATCTCGATGAGACGGAGCTAACCATATTGTCAGATTTTTAATTTATCATCAGTAATACCTAGTTTTGGCTGAAATTTAAAAATAATCAGGCTTTAGTTTATTTAGTAATAAAGTTGGAGTCTATTTAGATTAGAAAATAAATTCAATTTTAGAGTCAAATTAGATTAGGAAACAAATTCAAGTTTGATTCATGATTTGTTTCCTTTATTATAGGGAGTCTTTTTAGAATAAAATTTGTTACTTTTTATTTTTTTGTAATTCTAGTCTTACTATAAGTCTTATTTGTTTTTCTATTTAAGAAGAGGCATGTAACCCCAAAGGAAAAATAACTTGTTTTATCAATAAAATTTCTCTTTCAATATTTTATTCGTGGATTCGGAGATTGTTCTTTGTGGATTCAAAGAACGTCCCCTTGGTGGATTCCGAGGTTTTACTTCCGTGCTGCGTCAAAATTGGTCTTAAAACCATGAGAAAAGTCATAGCAAGTCTTAGTTTCCCTCCTCTTTCTTGAAAGAGTGAATAAATCACTAGTTATTTTTCAAAATAAGGTTATTGAGAGGTATATTAATCATTGTATACATAATGGTATCATCTTACATTTCTTTACATACTTTTCATTCCAGACTTTTCCTTTTTAAGTAAATTTGTAGAAAAACTCTATTTTTGTACGACCTTCAATATACTGCTACACAGATGACATATGCTCGTGTCCTTGGTCACCCCTCAAAGATGAAATGTAGACAAAAAAGGACAGGCAAAAAGGGAAAAAATTATGAATTTTAAGAGAAATAATAAACAGGTCCATAATTGGATATGAGTGAAGGACATGAAATTTAAGAGCTTAGAGTTTATTAACAACTCAAGTTAAGACTAAATTGAGATTAGGATATATTCATATTAAGAGACAAGACTCATTTCCTATGAACCTCACATTGTTAAGGACTTGTATCCAAAAATGAACTTATAAAAAAACTAATCAATATCCTAAAAACAAAGAAAATATCAAATTATATTTGTGTTTCAATCAATGTATTTTATATAATATAATCGAATCACAAGAATGTAGCCAATTTAATTCACCTCTTCGTTTTTTCTTCCTTCTCCAAAGGAAACAACCAACACAAGTTAGTAGCAATGCTGCAGCAACAAGGCTCACCGCGACCGCAACTATTGTGCTCTGAGTTTTGCCAGATGACACATCTGAAACACGTCCACATCATCATCACCTTGTGAACATATATCTTCAAAGTTCTTTCGTTAAAGACTACAATATGAGTTATGATTGATCAACATACCAAACAATCTGGATGCCTATGCTTTGTTCTATAGCAAATAAAAAAACATGCGAGATATTGTGATGATGTGTACATGGGTGTGGATGAAGAAAATTTGGTCCATGTTCATTGTTTGATTGATCAATGTTGATATATGAGAGGACATGATAAAGAGATTATTGTATAGTTAAACCTTGTGCTAGAAGTTGGTTCTGTTAGGTAATTAAAAGCAAGGGGTCAAACTGACCAACTATTTTTAGGTAATTAAAAAGACATGGCGGAAGCTTCAGGTTCAAAAAAAGAACAATGAAGATGGGTCATAGAAGGTAGGCAACTTTGAAAAGTAATCCAAATTGAAAGCAACCTATAACAACTATCCTAGCTGAATGTGGTCTTGTTTTTGACCTACCAATGTGAAGGGAAATTCACCTAGACAACTACAGTTCAAACTCCTCAATAATATTTTATGTGTGGCTAGATATGGACTGGGCAGACTAAGTCATTAATGCAACTTCTACATAATTATTGAACAGACATACAGATATCAGTCATCCAACTTTACAGTTCATAAAATTAAAACTAGAAACTGAATTAGAAAAAAACTACGTACCAAGATCAGCAGCAGCCAGCCGTACATACAAATCCTGTCCTGACCCAACAAAGTTCCTTATATCAAACAGATTACCGATCCAAATAATGCACCCGCTCCCTCCCCCGCTCACGTTGGCGCTCGCATACGCCGTACACGAGCAATTCCCCAAACACAAGCGCCTACACTGATCCAAATTCAAATTCATGTCCACAGTACAGTTATCGGATTGTGGCAGCTTCACATTGCTCACCGTTACAAATCCGTCCGTCCCGTTCTTGCAATCCAACGGCGTCCTTCTCTTGCACCCATCATGCCCGTCCCTCAAATTCCAATTTGAAGGATTCTTGGGATCAAAACCCTGTAAACAACTGCATAATGGCGAATCATTCGCATCACATAGCCCGTAAGGACCGCATTGCCCTATATCATCGCACAAATCCTTCGGCGCATTCCAGAAAAAGTTCCATTGATTAGCGTCCGGTAACCACAGCGCGCGCTGAGCAAAACCTGTTGAGTTAACTAGCAGCCTTGATATATATGACCGATTAATAACACTGTAAAAGTACACAACTTCTGAAGCGTTATTCACGAAATTGAACTGAAAGCCTCTGTAAGTGCTCATATCCGGTATCCCACTTAAGTGTGTACCATCCCAAGCGCCGCTTCGCCAAATTGGGGTGGAATCTCGACAGAAATAGATATCAGGATCGCCTCTGATGTCCATGAAACCATGGTAAGGTCCCGGCGAGGGATCATTTTCGCTAGCCCATGCTACAAGTGTGCGATTGATCCCAGTGGTCAGGTCGACGCCCAGTTTCATACCGGGGATCAATGTGTCGGTCAAGTAGTTGAACCCTTGCCATCCGTAATTGCCACTGGTGTCTCCGTCCTGCATTACAACGAGATTTCCATTCTCAAGAAGCTGCGCTATCGGACTGGTTAACTCCACCGTCGAGTTTGGACTGGTCCAGACGACTGTCGAGTTCTGACTCGTGATTGTGAGCCTGCCGTCCTTGGTTACTGACAAGACTCCGGTCGAGTTGACGAGGGGGCTTGCACGGTTGGCGACCCAGAGTATGGTGTGGTCGGATATCTGGTTGTACCATAGACCGATATATCGGTTGTCTGAATTTGGCGGATTGAAGAAGCCCAAAGCGAAGGTTCCGGTGGCCGAGACTAGGGTTTCGTTGTCGGCGAGGGGATTGCTCGGGGTTATGGTGTCTCTGGCAGTGGAGAAGGATAAGAGGAGGAGGAGAAGGAAGAGGAGGAGCACAATTGGCTCCATTTATTTTTTTCCCCCCTTCTGGTTTCCCTTCAAACAAGCTTAGCTAGTAACAAACTTTTGTCTTAAAACATATAATGTTGCTGGCACTTTAGGATGTGCTGTTGCACGAGGACAAACTGGGCCATTCACTGAGAGAGCATGTAACGCATGGGGTCGGTAGCGACCCACAAGAGTCATAAATGATAATGATTATTCCATCAAGTATTGGGATTGTTTTTTCAAAGTAGAAGATTCGGTGGTTGGGATATGAAGGAAAAAATGGACAAAGACGTGTGCAACTTTTCCCAGTTTTTTCAAAGACTGAAAATGGTGCCTAAAAATAGTTGCACATATGGAATTAAAAACAGTCAATTTTGATCAATTGTTTTGTCAAAGTTCTATATATGTCATATTTAAAGAATTTTATAATCTTACCGAAAGACTAATAGATAAGAGGGATGATGAGGAGCCATTGGACATATCCTGCTTTTTCCTTTTCTTCTAGAGCGAAAAAAAAAGTCTGAAGTAAATGGTTAAAATGTCCAATAAGCGAGAGCACTCCAAGTTGATAATTACGTCAAGGAGTACTCCACCAGATAAAAGCTGCGATTAAACTAATGAAGGGGTTACATGAGACCCAGACTGTTTCTTGGTGAGATCTCAGACTTTTCCCCACTTTCCCCCATTCTTTTTAATATTATTACTGACGAAGAACTGAATTTTCAGATATACGTCTGAACTAGTTTGTTACGTAGTTAGTTTAGGTTAATTTATCCTGTTTCTAGACTTTATTGTTGAGTACAAGTCAAGCCATTAAAAATTTGTTTAATCACATCGTCTGCAAGTTTATCTCTAACCATTAGAGTTTTATATTAATTCTAACAATGCCCTACAAGTGGATTAGAAAATCCGCTTAAAATTCGTGGTTGATGGGATTTGAACTTGGTTTGTTCTGATACCGTCTAAAATTTAGTCCCTCTAACCATTACACCAAAACTCCAAAGTTAAAGTGAGGGTTGAGTATTATAGTTTTATATTCATTTTAACAAACTTTAGTATGAAACCATACTCATAACCATGTCCAGCCTGTTTTCTGGAATGTCCAACACTAATTTGTCCAATTTAGATAACAAATTGAAATTTGATTTAGCACTTCTTGTATTTCTCTTTTGAGGGGAAAAGTTCACTTTATGCACCTTTCCTGATTCAGGCCTGGGTTTTCTTCTTTGTTAATTCTTCAAAATAAAAATTCATACCTCGGCACTGCACAAATCAAGGACTGCTTTGCAAAAAGTTGTCCTCAAAAAAAGGATTGTTCATTGGAAAATGAAAAGTATTTAGTGAAAAAGCAATACGCAAAGCATTGATCTACTTTGTTTTGTCGTGCAGTTGGGGATAACTGGGGCTCATTATGGATGACTTTTTTTACAAGTAATTAAATATATGAATATTCGGGTGAATAGTAATCCCGATGAACAGTAATTTTTTTATTTTTTTATTTTTTTTAACTAATTAACTTAACAGCAAGAATATTTCTTAATCTTCTAGATTGCTGTCAAAACAGGGATATAAAATTATAAAAACTAATTAAAGAGTTAGAAAATTCAGGCTTGATCGGGAGCAGTCGTGATATCACTGCCCTAGAAAATTAAGGACCCGTCTATCGCCCTGGCGCAATTTGTCCTCTCTCCCCTAATCTGCACTCGGGCGTGAGTCACAAAGCTTATGCTCAGACGAAAACGGTTGCCCAGCAAATAGAAATATAAATATGTAGCCGAAATTTCTTGGAGGTATGAGAGTAGAGAAGAGAAGAGAGTTTAGAAGTTTTCCTCTTCGTTGGTGTGATTCTGAATGAGCTCCAAGCCTGGTTTTATAGGTGATGAGAGGTGTAACCCCCGCTGAATCCAAGGGACCGTTACGCACAAGTTTTGCTTCCGTTACCCGCATGCAGCCGTTACAGAACGTGTAAAACGTGCAAAAATAAAAGCTTGAGAAGCAAAAAGGTGTGGCAGTGTTGATTACCCCGAGTAGTGACAAGACTTTTTTTGTCTACACAGATGCATAGTTGTCAGGACTAGGAGGCGTTTTGATGCAGACTCAAAAAATGGTTGCTTATATCTCATGGCAGTTGAGGCCTCCAGCACAAAAGTGTCACGCCCCACTTCCTAAAATACCCAGGAATCGGAACGTGAACAAGCCCTCGACGTATTAGATTGAGAAGAAATATACACTATTATTTTTTTTTTCTTCTCAATCCAATACGCTAAGCGTCTAGAAATAAATACAACGTGAAGTCACAGGTCCCCGATCACACATAGCAAGAATATAAAGACAACCCAGAATAAAAATAGACATATCATCAATGGTAAATCATCCCAGACATAAAAATATGGGTCAAACACGCCCTTATTACAAAAACGGTTCAACTAGGAAATAAGAAATACATAGTCCATAATAAAAGGAAATAAAATAACTAAATCTATCATCAAACTAAAGAAAAGTACGGTAAAAGAGTTTTAATATCCAACTACTACTAAAGAAAAGTACGGTAAAAAGGTTTTAATGTTCATCAGCTACTACAGAGGAAAACTACTGAGCTTCAGCTTATTCTTCTACTCCACCTGCAAGGCACTCCTACTGAGAATCCTCTGGCTCCTGCACTATCCCGAACTGAGGCTGCTCATCTCCTAAATCTGACGTACATCCAGAAAATAGGAGTACGTCAGCGTGTGGAACACACGGCAAGATCCCCCAAGGCAGAAACAAATACAACAACGATAATGATAATATATGCGTGGTCAATGTGATAACAGAAATAAAAATAGAACATGTGATGATAGTAATAACAATAGAGGCGTGCAACTGGAATACTAATAATCAGACGAATCCAAAAAAAGCAACAAGATCATACAATAGATAGAATTAATATTTAAAAATCTACAACAAGAGACGTAGTACGTCGAGCGAAATAATCCAAACAAGGAAACCCTCATGTATATACCATATGTCTCAAATTGTAGATAATTAAATATTAACCCTAATCTGTGTATGGAAAGAACACAACTAGCCATCCTACCACAACTCACTAGTTCACATCTCACTAGAGTCAAGGTTCATATTCTCGGATAATCGATTGTTCACCAAA